TCACTTAAGAGTTTAGTCTGTACAAGTCAACAGTTCATGTAGTACAGTCAGCTGGCCTATACTTATATAATTTCCTTTTCTCAACAGTATTTTAACTTCTATAATATTGGCTTAACTAGTGACGCTATCAATAAAATGGCCCCATTGGGATGATTTATAACATTCTCTATCATAAAATGATACTGATGCGAACCAGAGACAGAAATAAACCAGAAATATATTAATGGATTTGGGCTTGCACTTAATTCTAGCCCCAATCTTAGAATGGTTAGTTCTTATGACAGGGTCCTACTGGATAAGTCAATCATGAAGCGATCACGTAAGATATGGGTGCTGTGGGCAAGGATCCCACAAGAATTGAGAACTACAGACCAATATCCGTAATGAACATCGATGCACAAATCCTTAACAAAATACTGGCCAATAGAATACAAAAGCATGCAAAAAAAAATTATTCACCATGACCAAGTGGGATTCATACGAGGGATACAGGGTCAGTTCAACAGACGAAAGACCATTAGTATTATTCACCATATTGACAGGAAAAATTGTAACAACCACATGATAATATTGATAGATACAAAAAATATCGATAGATAGATGGATATTGTTGGATATTCGACAATATCCAACACCAATTCCTGTTTAAGACACTCAAGAAGATAGGAATAGAAGGAAAATTCCTCAAGCTATATATGAAAAACCAACAGCCAATGTGGTAATCAATGAAGAAAAAATGAAAACAATTCCACTGAAAAAGTAGGAGACCAGACAAGGATGCTCCTTGTACCCACTCCTATTTAACATCGTACTGGAGGTCCTGGCTAACAACATAAGACAAAGAAAAGACATCAAAGGTATTCACCTGGGGAAGGAAGAGGCTAAATTATTATTTGCAGATGATATGATTTTATACATTGAAAATCCCCTAAACACAAGTGGAGTGTTGGAAGTGATAGAGGAATATGGCAGAGTGGTAGGATACAAGATCAACAAACAGAAGTCTATCAGGCTGCTGTACACATCAGACAAGACCACTAAAGAGGCAAATAAAAGGGTAGTACCCTTTACAATAGCCAAGCACAAATCTAGAGATTTAACTGACTTAAAAAATGAAAGATTTGTAGAAGGAAAATTATAGAACACTATTACAAGAAACCAAGAGTGACCTCAACAAATGGAAGAACAGCCAATGCTCGTGGATTGAAAGACTCAATATAGTAAAGATGTCAGTTCTGTCCAATGCACTATATAAGTTCAATGCTATCCTGATTCAAATACCACCATCCCTCTTCAAAGAATTGGAAAAGCTGATTACCAACATCATATGGAGAGGGAAGAAGCCCAGAATTAGCAGAGAACTCCTCAAGAA